AGAGAAAATTTTTGAAAATGATATAGCAAACAAAGCCAAGACCGAACCAAAGCTACTCCACAGTCACATCAGAAGGAAAACAACAGTGAAAGAACAGGTATTGAAACTTAGAACAGGCGAGGACAGGTATACAGAGAATGACAGAGAGGTGTGTGAGGAACTCAACAAGAGGTTCCAGGAGGTCTTCACAATAGAACAGGGTGAGGTCACTGTGCTAGGAGAAAGGGAGGTAAACCAGGCGGCCTTGGAGGAGTTCGAAATTACGAGAGAGGAGGTCAAGAGACACCTGCTGGATCTGGATGTTAGAAAGGCGGTTGGTCCAGATGGGATCTCACCATGGGTACTGAAAGAGTGTGCAGAGGCACTTTGCTTGCCACTCTCCATAGTGTATAGTAAATCACTAGAGACGGGAGACCTACCAGAAATATGGAAGACGGCGAATGTGGTCCCAATATACAAAAAGGGCGACAGACAAGAGGCACTGAACTACAGGCCAGTGTCCTTGACTTGTATACCATGCAAGGTGATGGAGAAGATCGTGAGAAAAAACCTGGTAACACATCTGGAGAGAAGGGACTTCGTGACAAATCGCCAACATGGATTCAGGGAGGGTAAATCTTGCCTTACAGGCTTGATAGAATTCTACGATCAGGTGACACAGATTAAGCAAGAAAGAGAGGGCTGGGCGGACTGCATTTTCTTGGATTGTCGGAAAGCCTTTGACACAGTACCGCATAAGAGGCTGGTACATAAGCTGGAGAGACAGGCAGGTGTAGCTGGTAAGGTGCTCCAGTGGATAAGGGAGTATCTAAGCAATAGGAAGCAGAGAGTTACGGTGAGAGGTGAGACCTCCGATTGGCGTGAAGTCACCAGTGGAGTCCCACAGGGCTCTGTACTCGGTCCTATCTTGTTTCTGATATATGTAAATGATCTCCCGGAGGGTATCGATTCATTTCTCTCAATGTTTGCGGACGATGCTAAAATTATGAGAAGGATTAAAACAGAAGAGGACTGTTTGAGGCTTCAAGAAGACCTAGACAAGCTGAAGGAATGGTCGAACAAATGGTTGTTAGAGTTTAACCCAACCAAATGTAATGTAATGAAGATAGGTGTAGGGAGCAGGAGGCCAGATACAAGGTATCATCTGGGAGAGGAAATTCTTCAGGAGTCAGAGAAGGAAAAAGACTTGGGGGTTGATATCACGCCAGACCTGTCTCCTGCAGCACATATCAAGCGGATAACATCAGCGGCATATGCCAGGCTGGCCAACATACGAACGGCATTCAGAAACTTGTGTAAAGAATCATTCAGAACTTTGTATACCACATATGTCAGGCCAATCCTGGAGTATGCAGCCCCAGCATGGAGTCCATATCTAGTCAAGGATAAGACTAAACTGGAAAAGGTTCAAAGGTTTGCCACCAGACTAGTACCCGAGCTGAGAGGTATGAGCTACGAGGAGAGACTACGGGAATTAAACCTCACTTCGCTGGAAGACAGAAGAGTTAGGGGGGACATGATCACCACATTCAAGATTCTGAAGGGGATTGATAGGGTAGATAAAGACAGTCTATTTAACACAAGGGGAACACGCACAAGGGGACACAGGTGGAAACTGAGTGCCCAAATGAGCCACAGAGATATTAGAAAGAACTTTTTTAGTGTCAGAGTGGTTGACAAATGGAATGCATTAGGGGGTGATGTGGTGGAGGCTCACTCCATACACAGTTTCAAGTGTAGATATGACAGAGCCCGATAGGCTCAGGAATCTGTACACCTGTTGATTGACGGTTGAGAGGCGGGACCAAAGAGCCAGAGCTCAACCCCCGCAAACACAACTAGGTGAGTACAACTAGGTGAGTACACACACACACTGGGGCGCCTAGTGGCTGAGTGGACAGCGCTCTGGATGCGTAGATCTAGGGACCCGAGATCGATCCCGGACCATGGCGGAAACAAATGGGCAAAGTTACTTTCACCCTGATGCCCTGAGCGGACAGCACGCTGGACGCGTGATCCTGTGGTCCCGGGTTCGATTCCGGGCGCCGGCGAGAAACAATGGGCAGAGTTTCTTTCACCCTAATGCCCCTGTTTCCTAGCAGAAAATAGGTATCTGGGAGTTAGTCAGTTGTCACGGGCTGTTTCTTGGTGTATGTGGTGTGGAAAAAATAGTAGTTAGTAACAGCTAATTCACAGTTGAGAGGCGGGCCGAAAGAGCAGAGCTCAACCCCCGCAAGCACAACTAGGTAAATACACAACAGAAGACAGTGAGTCACTGTGAGGGGTGAGGCCTCAGATTGGCGAGTCGTCGCCAGTGGAGGCCCGCAGGGGTCAGTCCTTGGATCTATACCGTTTCTGACATATGTATATGATCTCCCAGAGGGTATAGAATCGTTCCTCTCATTGTTTGCTGGTGATGTAAAAATTATGAGGAGGATTAAAACAGAGGATGATAGTAAGAGGCTACAAGATGACCTAGACAGACTGAATGAATGGTCCAACAAATGGCTACTAAAATTCAACCCGAGTAAATGCAAAGTAATGAAACTAGGCGGTGGAAACAGGAGGCCAGAATGGGAAATGGGAAATGAAGTGCTTCATGAAACGGACAGAGAGAAAGATCTAGGAGTTGATATCACACCAAACCTGTCTCCTGAAGCCCACATAAAAAGAATAACATCTGTGGCATACGCGAGGCTGGCTAACATCAGAACGACCTTCAGGAACCTGTGTAAGGAATCATTCAGAACCTTGTATACCACATATGTAAGACCAATCCTGGAGTATGCGGCCCCAGCATGGAGCCCGTACCTTGTCAAGCACAAGACGAAGCTGGAAAAAGTTCAAAGGTATGACACTAGGCTAGTCTCAGAACTAAGAGGCATGAGTTACGAAGAAAGGCTGCGGGAAATGCACCTCACGACACAGGAAGACAGAAGAGTAAGAGGAGACATGATCACTGCCTACAAAATTTTCAGAGAAATTGACAGGGTAGATAAGGATAAACATTTTAACACGGGTGGTACGCGAACAAGGGAACACAGGTGGAAACTGAGTAAATGAGCCACAGGGACGTTAGAAAGAACTTTTTCAGTGTCAGAGTAGTTAACAAGTGGAGTGCATTAGGCAGTGATGTGGTGGAGGCTGACTCCATACACAGTTTCAAATGTAGATATTATAGAGCCCAGTAGGCTCAGGAACCTGTACACCTGTGGCTGAGGTCAGGCTGTGCCCGTCCAAGTTGCGGACTGCCAAAAAAATTAATAGTTAGTAACAATATTGATTGACAGTTGAGAGGCGGGCCGAAGGAGCAGAGCTCAACCCCCGCAAGCACAACTAGGTGAGTTCTAATCTGTTCATGATTAGGCTGTTTAATTGTTATTGTGTCCTTCAGAATAACAATAATACAAAAAGTGAGCACTTTTGGGTGTAACCCTATTTTATACACTTTATTCATTATTGCTATAGTTGCTATTAATAATAATTAATACTGTAATCCATTGTATCGGGACAGGTAGCCAGCGTATATACATGTTAGGCTTACATCGTTGCCCCTCCCCATCAGGTCGAATTTCCATCCTTCGTCCAGGATGCAACTCTGTAACAAGCTCATGGGTAATTATTTACTGCCAGGTGAACAGGTGCATTAGGTGACTGGAAACACGCCCATTTATGTCCCGCCCGGAATTAGAAGCCTGATTTTCCGATTGAAATTGAAATTGAAATAAGTTTATTGAGGTAAAATACACACAAAGGGATGAGGTAGCTCAAGCTATTCTCACCCCGTTCAGTACATCGTGTTAATACATACATATACACACATCACAAACAATAAACATATTACCAAACATTCTCAGAGATAAACATCTACATTTCCTGATTTTCCGATTGTGAGTCGATAACGGAGCCGACTGTACTACCGGAGAGGATGGGTTGCCTTAACTACACATCTGCTGAAATACTTAAGTTTTTGAATGAAATATTACGAAACGTTATACAAGGACGAAAAATATGCAATAGCTCTCATTGTTACAGTAAGAATGTATTTCCTCAGTTATGCTAATTATTTAAGCGAATTTCGCTACGATCAGCAATAATGGGAAACTTTAAATATATGACGTTAACACTTTAAATAGCCATAATATATATGGCCACAGTATTGACGTATATGGAGTCGCACGTATACGTGACGAGGTCGGCTTCTGGAGCAGAGAATCGGACGAGTTCATGTAGGTTATCAACCCATGGGGAGGGGGGGGAGGGGAGCAGGAACGGTAGGTTGCCAGAAGTCATAGGGTAAAAAAAAAAATCTATGTCCATATTTATATTATATTGAATAATTAAGTGTTCACAATGTGGGCGCCCACATTAGGAACATTCTACATCGCCACTATCAAACAGCAATTGTTACTGCGTAAAGAAAGTACTGACTAGAGTGGTACACGGCACCACCATTCAGTTATTGTCTGGTGGTGACGTGTATCATGGAGACCGGTCTAGCCGTTTAACAAGGATTGTTTTGAAATATTTCCAAGCTGCCAATATTTTCTTGCAGCTCGTGCTTTGTTTTATTAATATAAATAAACTAAATAAACATCGTGATTCTTATAAAATATAACATATCCTCTGCATTGTTTAATATTAGTTTGTGAAAATTATATAAAGGTTGTTTAGAGCGGAATTACTGCCTCTAGTAAACCCTTATACAATCACACTAACAATTAAGGTTGTGAGGCTGAGAAGTACGATATTATATATGTAGTAGCAGGATTTGTTATTAAATGGGGGAACTGGCGGGGCTTTCTGCGCGGCGGGTTGAGGTGTTTACGTCTATTTTTTCCCAACACAAGGCCCCAGGCTGGGAGTATTCCTCCGCCGTGTTTACAATCTACGTACCGTGTGAATTTTTGTTACTTGGGACAATTTGCGTATTCGGATGAAATATAACCATGTCACATTCCTTTTATTATATAATTTAGCATTTTTTGTAATGTACAAGAGCAGTATTTTCGAAAATGTACACGATCTTTGTGGAACTAGTTTACCACGCGGATGGATATATGTGCGCTTCTCACGATCACAACCAAAACAAACAGCGAGCGACTGCACTCGCCGAGCGAGTTTCACTGAAGAAGGTCGCCAGACTGTGCGCTAGCCGGACACATTACAATTTCAAAATGCCTAGCAAAGACGAGCTGTGTTTCCTATCTGAGGCAAAGGCAACTACCACGCAAGATTTTTTATCGAGAGACATTGATGATTTAGTGTTAGAAATTAAGGAAAACTTGAGATTAAAATCTCGACCGGCACACTTAAGTAGCGGGAAGGCAAGGACCCGAGCGTCTCCATACAGTGTCCCTTCCCGGACTGAGAGCAAATGTGGGTGTTGTGATGGCCGTCGTTGTATTCGTCGGGGGCTTGCAGCGAGAAGAAGTTCCGACGATCCATACGAAGCGCTACAAGAATTATTGAAGGATGGTGACCTTATTAAGGAGGCGGTCCGGAGGCTGCAGCTTGGACTCTCTCCTAAACAGCGGGTGTATTACGACTCTGACGATGAGCTCAGAACACCGCCTTACCCCTTTGACCATATAGAAGTTTGATTGAGTCTAATTTCTAGTGCTGCCCCGTCTCCCCCGTCTTTGGACCACGTAGGCGTGTACCAGCCATCACAGTGTGTTACCAATAACGCCAAGTCTCTCGTGTGATCTTGTGTGGAATGCCTCTCGAGAAGCCGGATCCTGCTGTGGTCGTGAATTGAGCAAGCTTAGTGCTGTTCACGCCAACCCAACAACGTCACGCTACACCTGACGATGGAGTACTGTGGTGTCTGTGGTCCTATCCAACCATTATCTAGTGAGAGCTCAGCCTAACTCTCGCATGTACTGCTGCCGTTCTGTCTATCCCAGGACCATCTCCACTACAAAGGAATTTAGTACAAAAGAGCTTGATATGTATTAAATTAGTGATTCCTATACGGTACGTGTGAGTGTTTCAACTTGTCCATCGAACGCATTCTTCATGACCCGAATGCTTCCCGTCCAAAGCGCAGAAATACTCTTTGTCAACAGTAGAAAGCCTAGTTGATTTAAGTGTGTGTGACGGTATCAGTTCTCCACGGTGAAGGAAGAAGTCGCAGCAGTTTTAAACCAGCAATAGGAAGTAGTGGCGACCACAACAGTGTGTACTACTGTAACAGATACCCGGCTTCCCTGGAGGTCTCACGTCAGGGATGGAGCAGAAGCTGGTTGTGGTGACCAAATGTACGGGGGTTACCGTTAACTTACAAGTTCTCTGATCTCAGTGTGTGCTTGTCAATAGACGGATCTGATGCTATTTTCCCGAACATTAGTATTTTAACTTCTAAATAAACCTTGAAGTTAGTGTGATCAAAACTGTGCGGTGTTAGTAGCTATAGGAGAAAAAAAAAGACCTCAACAAATTGTTCGTTTCCGATGCCGTGGTATAAGGTGTTAATTACTAATTTACATTCATATGAAAGTGCATTTAAATGGAAAAGTAAAGTAAATGCCAAGTTGTATTTCAAATCTTGTAAAAGTGCATTGACCATTTTTTGTGAAATCGTCAATTATGATTTGCATTGGAATAGTTTTATTTATTATGGATTGATGTCAGATACGAACGAAAAATTGAGTATACAAAGTTCCACTGCTAGTACAAATATCCCCACTTTACTGTTTCAGAGCTCAGGTTTCGGTTACTGTTTCTTTTAAGTTTACTGTTTACATCACATTGTAATGTTAGTCTTTGTGGTACAAAATCAAACCACTAAAGTACCTAACTGAATATTGCTCATATTGTTCTCCCAACACTGTTGTAAGGGGGCACTGTTATATAATGCATTTGTGTGGGCTGTGCAAGCTGGCAGCGATTGTCAATAACTTAGGCTAGTGAAATCTACAAGTGGATGGTATGTTAGAGGCGGTCATGACTTCCCTCAGAAGTGTGACTCGACGTGGCCAAGATCAATAGCTGTACAGTCAGCTTGCTAAAGGAACAACGCTCACCCCACACACTCGTGCTCCTGACGTTGTTAGGGCGGCCTCGTTGTCATGGAAGCTCATTGTATAATAACAATGCATTGTACCCATTATTGCAATAGTACCCCCACTTCAGGAACTACATTGTATTACGTTTTCTAAATACTTGTTCTAATTTTCATTGTATTTATTGTATGTAAACTTGAGCTCAGATTTTGGAACTTCAGCTGTATGTAGTGAATCCCAGTTTGTACAAATAATTTGTCAATTCCATCGACAAATGGGAGTATTTTGTGAATGAATGTAACGACATAAGTCATTGTTGGTCTGAATGATCTTCCTCAATGTTATAGATACACGTGTAGTCACTCTTCATATTCTGTTATCCTGAATTAAATGTGATATGTATTTATTAAGTCACCTTTTGAAATATGTTTACCTAGTGTACATAGGCACTGTTAAAACGCTTAGGTCATTGTACATAACTCACATCTAGATCATTGTCTAAAAGTGCATGTTTTAGTGCATTTAAACAACATAGTTTCTGTAACTGAAAAGACACTGATGTGTATTTGTAATAAACAGACAAAGTGTATATTGGGTTTGGTATGTTCCTTTTAAGTTACTAGTTTGGCACAATTAAATTTGAAAGCAAATCATGGCAAATGTTATTTAAAAATGCTTCAAGAATTTTGTTGGTGTTGACTAAATACATTACAGTAGTATAAATGTATTAAAGATTCAATTGAACTGAAATATATATACTGCAGCTCTTTAACATTTAACATAACTTTCTAAACAAAAAAATGCAACCAAGTACAGTAACGTTGTTTTTAACCTTTATGCAAATCAGATTATCATGCAAGCTATATTTAGGCTTGTGTGTAAATTGCTGCCAGAGAATTTGGTAGACAGCAACTAAGGGGAAATAATAAAATGGCGTGGACCCATTTGTATCGTCTTGCCTTGTATAATGTCAAGGTATTTTGTTTTAACTACAGTACTGGAGCTACATAGTCTATCTGGTTTGGGGCCTTTTGATAATTAAAGTAGTTGGAAACTGCACCTTTGAAGAGATTCCTCAAATATTAAGATTGCAGCATTTGGACTACACAACTTTGACATTGTTTCAGCACTTATTAAACTTTGATAATTACCGACATGATGAACGGGGTTAGATGGTACAATACTTACAATGCGATCGTGTCTGTTAAATCATAAATGCACAAGTAAAGAACAGAACCCTGTAATAACTAGGGAAATAAATAACTTGTGGCTTATTGAAAGGAAAGAAAATAAGGCATTGTTGAACGTAGGGTAATTGCAATTTTTTAAAAGCACAAAGTAGGCATTATACTTTACCTTATGTAATGCTATTTTTTTATTTTAACTGAACACAAGTGAACAAATTAAATTTTGCAGTCAGGATCGATGACATTACACAATAGTCTCCCCAGCTTTGTACTTTTTTTTTTAACTGGTACTTAAACCATAGTCTTTCGTTCTCTGGAGATCATACCGGAAGGCTTCGTGTCGGTTACCTTGAGATGGTTTCCGGACAGTTTCCCCGCGGCCCGGTCCTCGACCAGGCCTCCTCGTTGCTGGACTGGTCAACCAGGCTGTTGACGTACGGGAGCAACCCGAAAGTGCGTAATGCACGTCGGTTAACCATGTTCCATGTAAAGTGGTGTTGTGAAATTGAATATAAAATCAATTTTTTTAAATCAAATCCTTGACAAGAGGTTTCTTTTGATATTTGACAAGAAGTTAGCCTCAAATGAAACTATGATCAGATGCAGAAGATTTGCAAATATATTGAAAATGGATACTAGTAATTATTAATCGAAGAAGTGATTGATTTTTCGTCTACTATTACTTCGTATCTCGTAACGTTTTAAATTTTACGAGCAAATCGTGAAATCGATTGTGATGAAAAGCATTGGTTTGAATTATGATTAGCCTATAAATTCATAAAAGCATGCATATATATATATATATATATATATATATATATATATATATATATATATATATATATATGTCGTACCTAGTAGCCAGAACGTCGTACTCGGCCTGCTATGCAAGGCCCGATTTGCCTAATAAGCCAAGTTTTCCTGAATGAATATATTTTCTCTATTTTTTTCTTATGAAATGATAAAGCTACCCATTTCATTATGTATGAGGTCAATTTTATTTTATTGGAGTTATAATTAACGTAGATATATGACCGAACCTAACCAACCCTACCTAACCTAACCTATTCTATCTTTATAAGTTAGGTTAGGTTAAGTAGCCGAAAAAGTTAGGTAGGTTAGGTAGTCGAAAAACAATTAATTCATGAAAACTTGGCTTATTAGGCAAATCGGGCCTTGCATAGTAGGCTGAGAAGTGCGTTCTGGCTATTAGGTACGATATATATATATATATATATATATATATATATATATATATATATATATATATATATATATATATATATATATATATATATATATATATATATATATATATATTTCCCCTTGTAGGTAACATGAAGACTCATAGGCTTTTCAAGGCCCCTTTTAGGCCAACGACTGAACCTACCCACGGTGCAACCCACAACAGTTGCATAACTCTTAAGTACCTATTTATGCTAGGTGAACAGTGGTATCAGGTGTTAGGAAACGTTCAAAAGTCACGTCCTGCGCTGGAGTCTAGCTGAGGACCATACGGTTGTGAGCCAATTTGCATAGCCTAATAGTCAGAACGCACTACTTGGCCAAGTATGCAAGGCCTGATTTGCCTTACAAGCAGTGATTTTTGGTATTAAAAACAATCAAATTGGTTAACCTGAAATATTATTATTATACACTTAATTAAAAACATGGAATACTGACTTAGTTATGTTAGGTTTGGTCATGTTTCTATGTTAAAACATAATTCAAATTAAAAAGAAAGATAATCATATATTGGAAAGCTTTATCATTTAAGACAAAAATGTAGAAAAATATATAATTTCATGAAAACTCTGCTTGTTAGACCTTGCATACTAGGCCAAATAGTGCGTTCTGCCTATGTTGCTGTTGTTTTAAATTTAGCTACTCAGAACGAAATGTACAGTAGCACGGGCTATAGTGAGCCCGTAAGCGTTCCTGGCTATTAGGTACAACATGTACAGTATAACCGTTGCTCGCTCCATTTTGTGTCAAATTACAACCTGCCCCCGGAACACCTGACAGGCGTGAGGCTCGCCGGCTAGACCCAAACAAAACACAGCTGGTACGCGGGCTTCCACAACGAGTCTACCCCTCTACACTGATGCCATGTCTTCTCTTTTATGTGTTTTTGTTAATATCCTCCACTAGATTTGGTGGGAATTTTGTACTTGTAGTTTTAACTGTTAATTATGCATCGAAATATTGATATATCTTAAGCGATATTTTAGGGTCAAGTGAATATGAAATATGAGTCACGTTGATGGAAACTTCCTTATGCAAATTAACAGTAGAAAGGCAGTTGCTTAAATGCTCTCCATAAGATCTTAACAAAACAGGAATACAATTCTAGGAGTAAAAGGATAAATACTAAAATATAAGCATAGCTGGGAAGAAATATTTGGCGTGTTCTGAGCTCATGGCGTAGTTCGCGAATATATTTCCCGGTGAAGTTGGTGGTCAAATAATAGAGGTTTAGAGCGGAGGGGGGTGGGGGGGAGAAGGATCCCAAAATATACACAATGAGATTTGTATGCATTTTCTCGGGTGTATAATACCTTGTATGTACAGTGTATATTATTGTTTGATCCTCACCAATCATCGTGTATACAAAATACTTTACTGCCAATGATAAGATTTGAGTGATTTGTTTATCTGCCCACAGTTGGATAATGACTAAGCGATATATTCACTCATTAAGGAAATAGCGAGGGTTACAATCACGATGGATTGTAAGTAGCGTATTTGTGTAATTGGAAACGTCAGTTAAGCAACGCATGATAATGGGGGAAGCACAGTGCTGTCTGGTCTCCCCCACACACTTTCACGAGGCTTCAGTGGGTGGCGGAAAGTTACACAAAGTCTACAAAGTAGGTGGAGGGGTGACGTGTGAGTGGCGCCAGGCTGGGTCCCACCACCGGGCCCCCGTGGCCCCTTGGGACAGTGGGCCAGTCCGTCCTCTCCAGCCTTCACAACGTCACTAAAATGATGTTCTAAATTGGCCGAGCCTAACATAACCGAGGCCCCCCTCTCGAATAGAAAACGGGATATCACATCAATGTTTGGGAACTGATTTATAGTACATAATATCTTGGCCAATTCAATTCAGTTTCTTTATTATGCACCCCATCCCCATCCCGTGGGCGGTGGTGTAAAGGGTTACAGGCACATAATTGGCTCAGGAACTGAACCCCCTAGTTCGTTTAACTAAGCAAATAACAATCTTTTGACGCTAGTTACACAGTTATTAATGTTATATATACTCGTACACATACTCATACATACATACATGTGCATATATATATACATATATATATATATATACATATATATATATATACATATATACATACACATATATCTTGGCCGTTGGGGTTGGTACTACATAGTTTCCTCTACTTGGCGCCTTCGTTTGATAATTACTTAGTTAACATATAACACTTTGATATAACACGTAAGGAATCAGGTCCAATATTGCCTTGAATCAGAACCTTTTGACAGTTAAGACTGGCTGAGTACAACTCTGGACAAGAACTCTATAACGATGGGTGTATCACGAGCGTATACGGGCTCACCATAGCCCGTGCTACTTGGAACTTGTTCCGAGTAGCTGAATCTATAACAACAACACGAGTGTATAGTCCTATTCAAAGGACTATACTTTATGAACCAATGAGAGGAAGCCTACACGGGTGAAGAGTGTGGGAAACACAGTAACAGTGTTCAAGAGAGAGAACTTGATAAACACCTCCAAAGGATACCTGATCAACCAGGCTGTGATTCACACGTCATGCTGGGAGCAGCCGCGTCAAACAGACAGCCCGTCCTCCAAACAAAGACTCAAAAGTGATTCCATCCACCCGCCAAACCCACTGTTTATGAATGAAAAACGGTTTATACACGACTCACAACTGATGACGTCCGAACACTTCCGGAACAAGTGCTTCACTGACGAATTTTGTTCGAACCACAACGCTGTAAATGCTTCACCCACGGACTACAAATACAAATAAATGCCAACAGAACTTAAACACCTAACCTAACCTATGCCTATATATGCACAATATGCTAATGCATTATAATATTAATTTATATTTGAGAAAATTCCCGTTTTGAATGAACAGCATGTTAAAATTTATGAATGCGTCTGTGGGGTCGACCGCTGGATGGAATGGACTTGAGTCGAGGACGGGTTGCAAACAACCTGGTTGACCAGTCTAGCAACCATGAGGCCTGGGCGAGGACCGGGCCGCGGGGACCCTCAGCCCTCCCCGGAGTCCTCGCAAGGTGAGGCTAGAAAGCCTAGCACCAGCCCTGATACGGGCTCTCCATAGCCTGTGTTACTTGGAACTTTTTATTCCAGGTAGCGAATCTTTAACACCAACACCAACAACAACAACAA